TCCTGTTTAAATATATCTGGTTTAATGTACATCATTAATTCATGAACACTGAACTTGCAGCAAATAGCATTTTGCTCATTTCTGGATAAAGCTTTTCTGATATGTGGATTCGCTATGTATATGACAGCCATCTTGTGCTTTGGAACACTAGACAACACATTAGCACTTCTCTTGGGGCCATGTTAAAGCAGCAAAATCACCAGCAAAAAAAAAAAAAAAAAAAAAAAAAAAAAAAAAAAAAAACAACAACAAAAAAAAACCACAAACAACCTAACAACCTGGCACTAAATAGACAATAAAATGGAAAGCTGCTTATTGTATGAGAACTGAGGAAAGCCAGTAGAGGGTCCCCTTGCTCAGTGTCAGATGGGACTATGGATATCAGGGGATTCAGTGTTTTGCCACTCTGACTCTGAGAATATCTGTGAATGCCCATAGAAATGTGACTAGTGTTTATTTTAGTGTTGCATAAGTTCTAGCAAACAGTTGAATTTGCAAATAATACTGGCCAACCGTGTTTAAAAAAAAAAAAAAAAACTTAAAAGAAAAGAATGAGAGACATTATCAGAAGATGGGCAAAATGCCCACCAATAAGAAGAGAGACAAATTGGGTAGATGATGAGTGGATGGATGGATGGATGGATAGATGGAACAGTGATAAATGCATAGATAGATAATAAATCTTTAAAAAGTTACTTAAATGTGATGTTTTCGATACATGCTATTCTTTCCTTATCTTCCTCTTCCTTTTCCCCCAATTTTGATAAAATATATGTGGTGCCAAAATCTTGAAGGTCTTTATCAAAATAATGAAAAACATAAGATAGCAGAAAGGAAAATTCTAGTTTTTGTGGCAATTCATTTGATTTTTGAATTTATTACTCATTATTCAGAGATGATCATCTTAACACAAATCTTGAAAGTGCATATTTATGACAATGTCAATGTTTAATTACCAAAAGTCAATACAGCATCCTCTAACTTAGCATCCAGTGACTTTTCTTGGGACTTGCTGATATGGAATAGCTACTTTAGGATCACAGATCTGGAGGTGCCTGCAAAACACAAGTCCTGACCTATACCCATGTGTAATACCTGCCTACTTGTTAATCAGAGTTGTCCTCTTGCTACCTCCTTCACCTGGGATCTGGAGGAGGAAGTGCCATTTGAATAGCCACTACCCTTCTAGGATCATAAAGAAGCCAGTGATTTGAAGGGCTGTCCCTTCTCTCTCTGTAGACCGAGATCATAGAAGGTGCTAAAGATGCTTTCTCTCTACTTTCCCTCCCCCACCCCATTTCCCCTCTGGCCCACTTTCTACGTGTGCTCCTGTGTGTGTGCTCCTGTGTGTGTGTGTGTGTTTGCTTTCTCACCTTTTAAATAAGCTTTATCACTTCGTGCACTGTATATATACCTGTACTTAGAATGCCTCTCTAAGTAGAAGGCAAGGATCTGGAATAAAAATTAAATCCCACTTAATCCACTTCATTACATAGCAGATAGTCTCCAAAAGTTTAAATAGAATGACTGTTTTGTCACATATATAGATAGTAGGATTTTTCTCTTTCCACACTAACTCCTTTATGATTTTTTTGGCTGTTGATTGGAAATATCTAGAATCAACTTTATTTAAACTTACAACCTGGACCTATAAGGCTACCAATAACACATCATATTTTTCTGAATCCTTCAACTTAGAGCTTTATACCTGAAAAACAGAGAAATAATATGATGAGAGATGAGTAAGTTTAAACTCTCTAGTCCTGACACTTTTCTTTTGTGGAAATACTACCTGCAAAAAACTTTATTAAGACAGGTTTTCACAACCCCCATTAAATTCAGTGAATGAATCGTGAAGGGTAAATTGCACTCATTATAATCTTACATTTCTTATGTAATATTTGAAATCATAGTGTTATATAAGAGCAAGCTAATGTTAACAAAAGGAGCAATTTACATTCCCACTTCCTTGGAGAATGGGGCTCTGCTTGACAAACAGAGCTTCCTGTCCCGTTTGCCCGCCCATGCATCTCCTGGTGTGCCAATGAGACCCACACTCTCATATCAGTGATATAATAAACCCTCCAAAACAGAAGGAGAAAATGAGGCAAACAAGCCCACTTCATTTCAACTTGTCAGCTTTAAATAAAATCTTCCGGAGCTGAAAATGAGAAACTTGAGGGATGATAATGTGTGAAGGAACCAAATTCAACATTGGGACAAAACATATTGCATGATTTTTTTTCCCCCTGATCTGCCACAAAAGTTTGTGAAATTTCACCATAGGTAGTTTCTAATGAGATACTGTCTTTTCAAGAGGAGGACTCAGAGGAATAAATGGTCCATTATGATCATTTATTTTTTTCTCCTCTTCAACCTCTGATGCCTTAAAATTATCTGAAGCCATTTCAAGCTCCTGTGTTATCTTAATGAGTAATCTGTAACCTTTGGAACAACTCCCAATTATCAATTTTTAAGTGAGAGTTGGTTTAATGAGTGTACTGAAAAGTGCATTCTTTTGTGTTATTTTACTTAGTGACTTACATAATACTGTCTCTGGCATTGGTTTTATATGCAGAATATTTGATCATGCTCTTTGCAGAGAAACAAATGTGAAGGAAAGAAATGCATTCAAAGTAAAATAATGCAAATGAGGTAAACAGTCACTAGTAATGTAAATCTCTTCCCTCACCCTCCTACCCCAACCTGACTTCATCTAGAAGGGACCAGTCTACTTTTCCCCTCAACTCATTCCACATCCTCTCTCTTCCCTCTTTGGTGTTACATTTTTTAGATTGTCAATTTTCCCCTTCACTTCATATTTGCTTATAGTATTTACACCTCTTTAAGAGAAGTATAGACCAGCTGGGTCCCAGAAAACACAACACAAGCTGTGCGTTTTCCAAGAGGAGAAAAAAGGAGAGAAGTCTGAGAATATATTCTCCTGCATGCCCTAGTCTGTACTTAAATGTGATACAAACATCCTGACATGTCTTTTATGTTCAATATTGTGTCTCATGTGGTTTCCAGATAGGCTTAGAATACTTTCCTGTTCTTTCACACTCTTATACCATTATAATATGAACTCTGATTTCATACTCCTTTATTTTAAAATTCCCACATAACTCAGTGATCAGCGCATAGAATGTTAGTAATGTTGAGGAATATGATACTTGCTAACATCCTGCATGGCCCATTGTTAAGAAGATCTCTCCAGGGGGCCGGCGCCCTGGCTCACTTGGTTAATCTTCTGCCTGTGGCGCCGGCATCCCATATGGGCGCCGGGTTCTAGTCCCAGTTGCTCCTCTTCCAGTCCAGCTCTCTGCTATGCCATAGGATAGCAGTGGAGGACTCAAAAGTTCTTGGGCCCCTGCACCTGCATGGGAGACCAGGAATAAGCACCTGGCTTTGGATCTGCACAGTGCTGGTCGTGGCAGCCATTTAGGGAGTGAACCAATGGAAGAAAGACCTTTCTCTCTGTCTCTCTCTCTCTCTCTCACTGTCTATAACTCTATCTGTCAAATAAAATAAAATTCAAAAAAAAAAAAAAAAAAAAGAAGAAGATCTCTCCAGACCAGTGTTGTGTCATAGTGGGTTAAGCCTCGATCTATGAAGCAGGCATCCCATATGGGTGCTTGTTTGAATCCTGGCTGAACGACTTCTGATCAATTCAGCTCACTGCTAACATGCCTGGGAAAGCAGCAGAGAATGGTCCAAGTGCTTGGGCCCCTGTACCCATGTGGGAGACCCAGAGGAAGCTCAGGGCTCCTAGCTCAGCATGGCACAGCCGTTATGGCCATGTGGGAAGTAAACCAGCAGATGGAGGATAGCGCTCTCTCTCTCATGTTCTCTCTCCCTTTCTTTTTCCCTCTACCTCTCTCTCTGTAACTTTGTCTTTCAAATAGCTAGTAAATAAATCTTTAAAAAACAAAACAACAAAACTCTCAATCACTATAATGTAAATATGATTTTAAATGTACATTTTAATATATTTCAGAGGCTCCATGGTATAGAAAAGAGTATATGAACTATGAACTACAAAGATTTCAGACTGAGGCTTTGGCAAATCAACATTTAATATAATCATCTTACAGCAGGCTTTTCTTTAATCCTCTGTATAATTACCTTGTGAAATGTGAACAACTAAAAGTTGTATGTCATAGGATGATAAAATTAATGTTGGACATGCTTTGGATTTTTAAAAATTTTAGTAACATTTTCATGATTGTTACGAAGAAAAAGAAAATAATATATTAACTTGGCTTAGCTATTAAATGCCCAACAGGTAATGTGAATGGTGATATGCAACTTATATGCATGTATTTTATTTTGCAAGAAGTAAAATCTTGGCCGGCACCGCAGCTTACTTGGCTAATCCTCCGCCTGCGGCACTGGCATCCCGGGTTCTAGTCCCAGTTGGGGCGCCGGATTCTGTCCCGGTTGCTCCTCTTCCAGTCCAGCTCTCTGCTGTGGCCTGGGAGGGCAGTGGAGAATGGCCCAGGTGCTTGGGCCCTGCACCCGCATGGGAGACAAGGAGGAAGTACCTGGCTCCTGGCTTCAGATCGGCACCGTGCGCTGGCCACAGTGTGCTGGCCGTAGTGGCCATTTGAGGGGTGAACCAACGGAAAGAAGATCTTTCTCTCTGTCTCTCTTTCTCTCTCTCACTGTCTAACTCTGCCTGTCAAAAAAAATAAAAAAAAACGAGAAGAAGAAGAAAAAGAAGAAGTAAAATCCTACTAAAACCACTAGGCTGTTCTCCACAGTTCAAGGTAAGTGAGATTAGTGCCCTTCAGTGCTCTTAAATCGAAAGTTTCAAAGGTGTTTTAATTCTAACCAGTTAGTTTCTCAGTAATCACCTACATGTAATGAGGGATCATTGTGGCTGGAAGTAGCAATTTAATGACTAATATTTTCAAAAGGAAAGCAAAAGGACTCCTGCTCAGAAGATATGTGGTCTAAATTGAAGGTTTTTTTTTTTTTTTTTTTTTTTTTCCCTATAGTGATGGCTGGGCTGACAGGTATGACGTGACAGATGGGTATCAGCGAGAAGCTGTTGGTGGAATCACAATCAAGCTCCAGTCTCCTGATGTCAAGTGGTTTGATGATTATTACCTGAAGCTGCGACCAGAAACAAACCTCCGAAACCCTTGGTTTCAAGAATTTTGGCAGCATCGGTTTCAGTGCCGTCTGGAAGGGTTTGCACAGGAGAACAGCAAATACAACAAGACTTGCAATAGTAAGCAGATTTATTGTTTCATTTAAAGTGGGTAAGGCTAAGACTCCAATTTAAGTAAACTGTGTCATGGGGATAGTGGCTGTAATTTGTTAGAGAGGACTCTTACATAAATAGAGTGGGTATTGCTACTTATGGTGATAAACAGGTTTTATTCTCACTAAGAAAAACATTGCAGAGCAAGTGTTTACTCTATTGAGATTCAAATGATTAGATTATTTCTATTTATATCATTTGAGAAATCAGATACATTTCTGTAAGGCAGTGTCCTAAAAGGATAAAACAAGCTTCAGAATGAAACTATTGTTAACATCCTTGAGGGCAGGAACTACATTTTGCTCATTTCTATTATCTAGAACAGTTAACACAGTGGAGACATAGAGTGAGAGTTTCATATATGGCAAAATATCAATCAGTGAATGTGAAGGATGATTTCTTCTGCTTCTGTTAATAAACCATAAAAAGTAGCAGGGATACACACACACACACACATATACATATTTATAATTAAGATGGTTCTGGAAGCATATCTGAGCAGAGTTATTCATTCATTCACTCAACAAGTATGTACCAAAAATGCTATAATTGTAATGGTACAAGATGGGGAAAACCAATTCCTAACTCAAAGATTTGATACCTGGAAAAGAAGATAATCAAGTCAACAAAAATTACAATTCAACATAATGAATGATGTAATAATATTTAAATGAAGGATTTGGCTTGTATTATTTGTAGCAACTCCAAAAAGAACCTTGATACTAATAACAAGGTAAGTCCAATATTGATATGTATATCAGTTGTGCAAAGGATTCAGTTTGTTAAAATTGGTAAGTGATTTGTTGAGACTGACTTATCCCACATTGTGTAATTGAAATGTTTTAGTTGGTGGTGTAGGTGCCTTAATCTTTGAGGCTGGAAAACAAGAATGTATTGAGACAGTGGGTTCGGAATCCAGGTCCAAAAACCAATCCAGCATACAATGAAGTAGTCACATAACAGCTTCAAAATGAGTAAATTGGGATCAATGTAGTGAATTCGTAGAGCATTCTGCCTCTAAGGTCATATCCATCTTCTGTTGGTTTCTGTTGTTGGAAAGAATGTTCCTTCTTTCACAAAATGATAGAAATAGTAAGTATTTATTTGTGATTGTCTTTTAAAATCATAACTTGATAAAACAAGGACTTGATGAACTTCCTATCAGGGTAATGGGGAGAGGAAAGATGCTATGTTGTGGGATGTTGTACTGAAAAAAGAAAACCAGAAACTGTAGAAGCAGAGTGTGAGGATATGTCTGCTTCTCTCCCTCTTCAGATTCTGCTACCTCTTGTCCAAAATCTTCAAGAATTTATTAATTTCCTTTGTTTTTATTTTCATGAAAAAAGGTGTTAATAGATAACATTGTCACTTAGGTTTCACCGCTTTAATCTTTGTACCTAATTCAATATTTTCTACAGTTTAATCCAGTTTCAGGATGACCCACTTCTTTCCTCTCAAAATTGGGGGAGCATCCACGTCTTTGTGTTTCTATTCTATGTATGTGTACAGATATGTCTGTGTAGCTACTTTGGAGGGATTATAAAGAGTAAGCACCAGCTCTTATATCATCCCAGTTCATCCTTACTAAGAAAATTATAGCAACCACTAATCAATGTAAGTAAGAAAATCTTTCCAGTCTTTGCCATCTTTTGTACTAACTGTTCTTCTTTTCCCAGTCCTTCTCTGAAATGCCTCCTCTCACAAATAGTTCTTTGTTTCTATTCCTGTGTTGGAGGTCTTGCTTAGATATAATCTTGAAAAACTCTAATTGATTTCCATGGAAATAGTATTTCTATGGAAACTGTTCAGTTAAATTCTCCTTCTGATGCTGCAATTGTAGCTCTGTCTCATGTGAACACTGTGATGTGATGGCTGTGCTCAGAATCTACTCCTGATGGTAGAAATGGAAAGCAATCTAATCTTCCCTGGGAATCTTATCAACAACAGATGACATTTGGTACATAAACATGGACATTTTATATGTAATGTCTCCATCATTCTCAATGAGGGAATTATTGTTCCCATTTTAAAGAGAAAGAAACCAAGATTTAGAGAGTCAAAATAACTTCCTCAAGGTCATATACCTATTAAGCACTGAAACTGAGATTGAACTCAGATTTGTATAAAGCTTAACCAATATACTATACTAAAGAAATAGAACAAAATAGGTTTAAAAATCACAAAATCTTCATTATGGTACAGCAACACATAGGTCAAAGATGAGAAGAGAAATCATTCTTAAAATCATTCATATACAGGGCCGGCGCCGCAGCTCAATAGGCTAATCCTCCACCTAGCGGCGCCGGCACACCGGGTTCTAGTCCCAGTCGGGGCGCCGGATTCTGTCCTGGTTGCCCCTCTTCCAGGCCAGCTCTCTGCTGTGGCCAGGGAGTGCAGTGGAGGATGGCCCAAGTGCTTGGGCCCTGCACCCCATGGGAGACCAGGAGAAGCACCTGGCTCCTGCTTTCGGATCAGTGCGGTGCGCCGGCCGCGGCGTGCCGGCCGCGGTGGCCATTGGAGGGTGAACCAATGGCAAAAGGAAGACCTTTCTCTCTGTCTCTCTCTCTCTCACTGTCCACTCTGCCTGTCCAAAAAAGATCATTCATATATGAACATAGAATGCCATAAGATACCCAAATATTCACTACCAATTACCAATTACTACCAATTACTTCCATATTTACACAAATTTCTTTTAGCATCTCATCCCATAACAAATGGCAGTTGAAATTGTTCCAGACCCTTGTCATTACCAGATTTTGTCTCTTATTTTAGGCATTCCATGAATATATAATATTGTGATTTTGATCACTTTTCCGTGGCATATTACAAGAAATTAAGCCCATTTTCACACATTTATTTCAAAGTTGTTTCCTCTTTTGTAAAAGGCCTCTTCCAGTCTTTTGCATGTTTCTTTGAGTTCATTATTTTTAATATCTGCCTTAAGAATTTTTCAGGGTTGGAAGAGCCAGGATGGCTGAATAGGGTATAGCCATGTTACCTTCAGCTGCCTCCAGGTACAAAAAGACCAAAGGGAGAATCACATTTCCAGGGTTCTGATGGAAATTTTTGGCAGAGAAGCCAAAGTGGAATGAAAATTCCATGGTACAAGAAGGGAGAAGACAGAGACACTGCTGCAGCCAGCTTCATAAGGTCACAAACTGCTGGCTATGAGCCACCATACCAAGTCAAGGTATGAAGAAATTGCTGAACTTTCCACCACTCACACTTTAGCTGAGAGAATTCCACAGTCACCCACTGACTGCTTCAGCCTGAGTCACTGACTGGGGTCTGAGCAACTGCTGGGTTTGGAGAAGGAGTTGCATTGCTTCCCTCCCCTCCCTCACCCCCACAGAGTACCAGACTGCAATGAAGAGTCACACAGCCAGTCTGAGTTGGGGCGATTTGTTGAGCAAAGCACAGCTCTCCTGCATCCTGCAACTGTGGAAGTTTTTGGACATTAGCCCCATAGCTATGCTTGTACACTCTGTGTGAGCCAGGAGGATTCCTCAGATTCTGGAGGCTATCACCAACAGCAGCCCATAATAAATTCAACCCTCCCTTGGAGATCTGAGTAATGACCCCACTATACCCTGCAACACTAGGAGTGTTAACATTTCTAAATTTTTCAATCCCACTAGAGTCTAACCAGTGAATCTAGGGAAGAACCTAGATGCATTCTACCTGTCTGGACTCACCCAAAAAAAATCTCCTATATGCCTTGTAGGCACACTATAAGACTGGACCAAGGTTCGGTTCTCATCCCTTAGACCCAGGACTTGGGTTGCTGGTGTTATAAACCATAGCATCAGTTGGAATATCCCAGAAGGATCTCTGCATAACATAGTCCTACAGACCATCAATTGGTGCCAAAAGCACTAGCCCCACTCAGGCTTGCCAGTGAGACAAGGAGACAGCCATCTTTTTTCTTCTTCAGCACCAAGAGCAAGGCCTTGGCTATCACAATCCCTAGGAGACTGATAGCAAACTCTCAGTGAACCAAAGATTCACACCCTAGGAAACCCATATTCATCTCAAACCCATACTTCTATTCCCACAACAAACTAGACCACTTTATCATTTAGAGACACAGCTGACATTGATTAAGACAAAAGAAATCATTCTGAGTCTACAATTCTGAGCTCACCTAGAACCAAAGACAAAGCAACAAGCCAAATGATACTCTGCATTCCAGCTAAAACAATAAATGCTTTCCAAAAAAACCTATTCTTAAAGAAGAAACAATTAAGGCCATTGCCGCAGCTCACTAGGGTAATCCTCCACCTGCGGCGCCAGCACCCCGGGTTCTAGTCCGGTTGGGGCACCGGTTCTGTCCCGGTTTCTCCTCTTCCAGTCCAGCTCTCTGCTGTGGCCTGGGAGAACAGTGGAGGATGGCCAAGTGCTTGGGTCCTGCACCTGCGTGGGAGACCTGGAGGAAGTACCTGGCTCCTGGCTTCAGATCGGCACAGCGCACTGGCCATATAGCAGCCATTTGGGGGGGTGAACCAACAGAAAGAAGATCTTTCTCTCTGTCTCTCTCTGTCTAACTCTGCCTGTCAAAAAAAAAAAAAGGAACAATTAAACCAGATGCACAAATATCAACATAGGGACATAGGAGACAAAAATAGACAAGGTAACATGATGCCTCCAAAAGAATAAAATAATCCTCAAGAATTAGATCCTGAACTGAAGGAAATCTATGAAATGATAGATATAGAATTCAAAATAATTATTGTAATGAAACTCAAAAAGATACAAGAGAATACAGAAAGATCAAAGAAATGGGGAAATCAATGAGTGACACTAATGAAATATTACTAAGTAAATAAATTCATTAAGGAACAAAATAGAAATTTTACAGATGAAATCTTCAATCAGTGAAATAAAATATATGATTGAGAGCTTTAACAGCAGAAGAGACCAAATGGATGAAAGAATTTCTGACCTCAAGGACAAGACTTTTGAAA